GTAATCCGAGCTTAGTCCTATTGTTTCCCCTTTGTATGTGACTTTTCAATTTTCTGGAGCTGCTCTCAGAATTCTTTTTCTTTGTTTTTGGTGAGTGTGATTATGATGTCATGGTGACTTTCTTTTGGAGTCTATCCTATATGGGCTTTGTTGAGCTTTTCATCTCTCATGATAGTAGAGAAGTTTTCTGTCAGCAATTCTTCAATGATCTTCTCTGTGTTTTCTGTTTTCTCTCCCTGTTCTGGAACTCCAATCACATGCAAATTTTTGCTCTTTATCGTATCCCATGTAGTTCTTAGGTTTTCTTCATTTTTCTTTATTCTTTTCTCTGATTTTTCTCAAACAAAGTGGCATCCACGGATGTGTCTTCAATTTTGCTGATTCTGTCTTCCACTGTTTCATATTTGGTCCTAAAACCTTTTGCTGCGTTGTCCATTTCTGAAATTTTGTTGTTTATCTTTTGGATGTCTAATTGCTGTTTTTGTATGATTTCTAATTGTTATTTAGTTTGACTTTTTGTTCTTGTATTATTTTCCTGAATTATTCTATTGCTTTGTCTATGTTTTCCTTGATTTTGGCTATGTTTTGGTTGGTTTTGTCTGCATTTTCCATGATTTTGTCGATTTTCTTTGATCTCTTTCCTAATCTCTTGGACAGACCTGAATATTACACATTTGAATTCTCTGTAAGGTAGTTCTAGTGGCTTTCTTCTGCCAGAAAGTCATCTGGTGCTTTATTTTGGTCATGTATTGGAACAATCTTATCCTGTATTTTTATATTTTGATATTGTCTGCTGTCTCTGAGACACTCAGGGGATATTTTCTTTATTTATTGATTATGAGTTTATTTGTTTCATCCTGTTTTTTTTTTGTTATATCTGGGTGCGCGGGCTGGGGATGCTTTGTTACTTGCTCATCTGTGGGCACGATAATTCTCACCACCTTGTCTGGGTGTGCAGGGCTGGTCACTCAGCTATGGTGCAGGAGGGCAGGTCCAGCAGGGGCAGAAGTGGAGGAAATGGGTCATTTGTCTGCAGCATGGGGCTGGAGTGGGGTCCCTGGTGGGATGGGGCCAGAGCAGGTGGGGAGGAGCCTGGGGTTCATGATGGTTCCCCTTGGGGTCATGGAGCACTGCAAGGCAGGGCCCGAGCTGGTGGGGAGTGGTCTGGGGTCCAGGCTGGTTTCCTTGGGGCCACGGAAAATGGTGAGGCAGGATTTGAACTGGTGGGGAGGGTTCTGGGGTACAGGCCAGTTCCCCTCAGGGCCACTGAGTGTGGCAAGTCTGGGCCTGAGCCAGCAAGGAGTGGCCTGGGGTTTGTCCAGTAAGGTGGAGAAGAGAGGCAAAGTGGGGGGCAGGGGTAGAGGGGGCTAGATGGCGGAGGGCAATAGGGTGGGTTGGTACTGTGGTTCTTGGCAGTTGGGGCTGCCAGGATGGGCTGGTTCTTGCAGTTCTTGCAGAGGGGTGAGGGTTGTAGGGGCATGCTCCTGTGGTTACTGGGTGAGAGAGTCTGGGTTCCTTGAGCTGCAGCCAGCAAATGTGGTCTTATTTAGCCCTAGGTTTGTCTGCACTGTACTCTGTCTCCTGCTAGGAATTCTGTGGTGGTGCCTTTCTGTGGGAGGGATTGTTGGTTTTATTTCCAAGATGGCCACACCGTGTCATCTCATTTGTCCAGGAACCTCCACTCAGTGTCTCTACTCCTTTGCTGTTTTCTATTAGTTTCTTCCTCTCAGTGGCTTCCGATCTCATACTTTATCCCTGCATTTAAGGTTCAGTGTTCCAGGATTGATGTCTGTATCTGTTTTACTTGGTTTTTCAGGTCTTTGTTGCAGCAGAATGGGTTAGTGCATCCGACTAGTCTGCCATATTGGCTCCATCCTTATTGCTCCCATTTTAAAGATGAAGTAACTGGGGCCTTGTAAACTTAAGCAAGATTTACACCCATTCGAGTTACTACAGAGCCTGTGTTGCTACATGAACTCTCCACTGATCCTGTTTTGATGTCTTTTGAGCCTCATGAGGCAGCAGGACAGAGCTTTGTTCTTTCTGTGGGAGTTGTATGGACCTTAACATCTCTCATAAGCTCTCTGCTCCCCTGCTTCCTCAACCAACATCCAGGCTCCTGACGATATTTGCAGAGCTACAATGTGAAAATCACTGTAAAAATATTAACTCCTGGGGCTTCTGTGAACCTCTGCAAAGTGTGCATCTTGGAGGGCAGAGTCCTCAGGTGAGATGGAAAATTTCTGGGATCTTCAGCCTGGATAGGCCCCGGGGGCCCTTGACACCACATGCCCATCCTCCTGCCGTGGTTTATCGACCTGAATGGATAGGGCTCCATGTAATTAATTTTAAACAGAGCATCCAGCCATTGTGCTCAGGAGGACAATGCCCAAAGAGTTCCTTAGCAAGCCTCATCATGTGCTCTTTATTTCTCATCTGCATTTCCATCCATCCAAGAAGCTTCAGAAGTGTAATCCTCCTTAACAACAGATTCATGATGATGAGGCCATTGCTTTCTGATACTGAGGTTTCAAGAAGTGACCCAGAAAACAGGCTTTAAGAGCAGCCTCCCCCAACCCCATTACACCAAGCAAAGGACAGGATTAAAAGAGTACTGGCTTATATGAATATTTTATGCTAGAACCTCTGCAAATCTGATTAGGGGAGTTCATCCCGCAGGGCAAACACAAATTCTGTACTCAGATTTAATGAGAAACTGACATGTTAATAGGATATTGATGCATCCATTCATCAGGAGATCCATACAGCACAGTGGATGTGCTCCATGCATCTCGGGCCCAGGGAAGATGCTGTCTTTTTCATATTTAGTTCTATCAGGAAAGCTACTGTCACGATGAGGAGGATTCCAAACACATGACACAAAGGATGAAAAGTCAGGAATTCTGGTCTTAACGTACCTGGGAAAGTCGTCTCTTGACACTGCCAGTGAGTGTATTAGAGGCTAATTCTTTTAAACAGCATTTCCCAGGTGGTTCTGAAGAACACGATGCCCGCCAATGGGGCGTTAATAGGTATCATGTGAGGAAAAGGCTCTGGGTCAAAAAGTTTTGGTAAATAATAAACTGAACAATCTTCTTTACTGCAAGACTTCTACTCTGTGACTTTACAGGAAGCAGATAAATTATGCTGCACTTCCAAACTTACTGGAGTCCCTGGGTAGTGCAAAAGGTTAATGGGCTTGGCTGCTAACTGAAAGGTTGGTAGTTCAGGTCCACTCACAAGTGCCTCGGAAGAAAGTCCTGGTCATATACTTCAAAAAAATCAGCTATTGAAAACTCTATGGAGCACAGTTCTATTCTGACATACATGGAGTCACCATGAGTCAGAATCAATCTGACAGCAACTGGTTCCAAACTGTGGAGTTCTTCCCTCTCAAAGCCCCACACCCCGGAGTGGTAACTTTCTTGTGTCATGACCCCTCCTTGGCAGTTTGGGGAAGCCTGGAACCCCTTCTCGGAATGCCATTTTTAAATGCTAAAAAATAACATACATAGGATCATGAAGGAAACTAATTGTATTGAAATAAAATATCAAAATATTAAAGAATATTTAAAAAATGGAGTACACTAATGTATGCATTATTTTGGGTATGCATTAAGTAACAAGATCCAGTGGTGAGTTTAATAACTACAGTTATTTCAAATGTATGCCCATGTCATGGATTGAGTTGTGTCCCCCAAAAACATCTTTCAGCTTGGGTGGGTCATGATTCCCAGTATTGTATGATTGTGTTATCTGATGTGATTTCCTTAGGTGTTATAAACTGCATCACTATGATGAGATTATATGTGATCTCCTTATGTGTTGTAAATTCTATCACTGTGATCAGGTTATACTGATGAAGTTGATAAGATTAGTGTCTTAATGCAATCTCTTTTGAGATATAAAAGAGAGAAGCTAGCAAAGACACATGGGAACCTCATACCACTAAGAAAGCAGTGCCAGGAGCAGAGCGCGTCCTTTGGACCTGAGGTTCCTGCGCAGAGAAGCTCCCAGACCAAAGGAAGATTGATGACACGGACCTTCCTCCAGAGGTGATGGAGAAAGCGTTCCCCTGGAGCTGACGCCCTGAATTTAGACTTGTAGCCTACTGGACTGTGAGAGAATAAACTTCTCTCTGCTAAAGCCATCCACTCGTGCTATCTCTGTTAGAGCAGCACCAGATGACTGAGACAGCCCATAAATACTATTTTCAGATACCTGCAACAACTGTAATGTGATATGAAAATATTTGTGACAAAGACAGCTAATACAGCTGTGTTTTGTTGCTCATATTCAGAACTGAAGAAAATGCTACATTTAGTTAGAGGGTAGTGAAGACTTAATTTTTTCCCCATTCAAGTTCATGGATGCTCTTAATTCTAGGGGTTCCCACGGACTGTTGTAGGATTAAATCGGTGAGTGGGTAGGGTGGGGAAGCTATTGCAAATTACGGGGGGATTTAGATCCTGCTATGTTGAGTATCAATACAAGCCTCATTTGAAGTTTTTTTAGTTAATCTTCTTTGGTTGCATGCCTGAAATCTTTTTCACCAGGTCTTGAATCCAAAATGCTCCACCCAAAATGAAAAATGCTAAGGGTGGAAAATAGAGCTTCAATGGGTTTAAATATAGCAACAATTATGAGGACGGTGCGGGACCGGGCAGTGTTTTGTTCTGTTGTGCATGGGGTCGCTATGAGTTGGAACCAACTCAACAGCACCCAACAACAACAAAATCTATTATTCCAGTGGAAAGTGATGAACCTAATTTCAGTGGTGAAGGGAGGGACAAGTCTTTCTTTTGACGGGAAAGGAAAGAATTACAACAGAATGTTGAGGTACTTAGATGATGATGTCTTAATTCCCTGTGGCCCAGCTGTATAGGAGCCCCAAGACCCCCCACCAAGGGTGACCCAGAGGAAGGCAGCCTCTGAACTGATTGCTTTTCTTTCTTACCCTTTCCACCATAAGGAGTGTGATTCAATCAGTCTAGTTGAAATGCTTCAAAGAAGAGGTTGCATTTTTATTTTTAAATAGAAAGAAGTAACAAAGTGTGACCTGGAGAGCAACACGTCCGTCCATCCGTCCGTCCTACTTTTTCTGTTGAGCACCTGCAGTGGACCAGGCATTGTAAAAAAATCTTTGGATACAGCCATAAACATGACTGACCAACTTCTTTTCTCATGGAGCTTTGGTTCAGGTTCTGGTGCTTCTGACCAGGAGGGCACATCAGGGATGGGATGCTCAGAGACCAAAGGAATGTGATAGAAGTCTTCCCATTTGACAACAATTTTACGAATTTACTGACTTTACCAATAATGCATTGTGTAGCTGAAAGAAACTCTTCTACACTATCAATAATAGGCAACAAAATTTATTTTTCTATAGAGAATGATATTACTAAATCATTGTTGTAAGAAGAAGTGATCAGGTTATGCAAAGGATGTAAGAAAAAAGTTTAAGAAAAAAATTGTCTTTTTTTGAATTTTGTCAACTTTTAAAAATTTATAATTTGTTGTGATTTCTCTTTTCATTCTAAATAAATAATCAAGTTTGTACCTAATCTTGTATTTATAACCTTGTATTCTTTTTTTAAGGAGGACCCCACAAAACCTGGACTGTGCCTAGTTGTGAGAGTCCTTGGCAGCCTGCTACAGCCTTTCTAAGAGAAGGCTCAAGTGGCTGGGCCATCTTTCAGAAGTCAACACCAGGGGAAGGATCATTTCCCCAGCACACCAGAACCCTGTGTAAATAGCTAAACATTTGTATTTTTTTCTTTTTTAGAAGCATCTTTTAGAGGAATTAGCTATTAGAGGGCATTGATAGCCTCTTATTTGGAATGGCACCCAATATACTTTGTTAAGGTTATTTGAGGGACTGTTGATGAGAAATTGGGAAACTCATCTCCGAAGCAACCAGAATTACACTGTAATTCAGATATGCTCTGAACCGAGAATAAAGTACTTTGCAAAGATACTGCTAAAGAGGGTTTATGGACCTGTGACAGAGCAGTCCTCATAATCATTTGTTGAATAAGTTGATGAGTTTGCACAAGTTTCTGCCTCCTTGGACTCCCCTGAAGTGGGTGTTCCTGAGGGATTCAGTGTCCCCCTTGATCTCCAAACACCTGTTCAATCTGGGAGTTGAATGGATTCTCCTTTCCCAGGACTTCCGGCCACTGGAGCTGTACCTTCTTCCAGAAGTGCTCTGCAAGCAGAATTGAAGCCACCTGCAGAGAGAATGCAAAGCAGGAGTAAAAGGAAAACTATGAAAAGGTAAAGAATCTACCATCAAGGTTTACTACATTCTTTTTGTGGCAGACAGGCTCCAGGGTAGCCCCCATGATTGCCACTTTCATGCCTTTGTATCACCCTGTTCCCTTGATACAGGTGGAACCTGTCACTTCCTTCTAACCAATAGAATATGGCAAAGGGGTGTCACTTCTATGATTATGTTACATCAGATAAGATTCTCCTTTGCTAGCTGACTTTCTCTAGAGACTCTCCTTGCTGGAATGGTGAAGTAAGAAGCCATATTGGGAAGTCCACATGACAAGCCACTCACAGTAGCTTCTGGGAGCCTTGGGGTGGTCTCCAGCTGACAACTGGCAAGAAGCCATAGTCCTCAATTCTACAACCACAAGGAAATGGATTCTGCCAACAACCTGAGTGAGTTTGGAAAATATTCTTCCACAATTGAGCCTGCAGATGAGAACACAGTTCAGCCAACATACCTTGATTTTAGCTTGTGAGATGCTGAGCAGAGTGCCCAAACTCCTGACCCACAGAAACTGTGAGGTAATAAATGTGTGTTGTTTTAAGCTGCTAAATTCTGGTAATTTGTTATAGAGTAATAGATAACTGATACACTTTCTCAGAAATCCATTTGTTCATTTATCTGTGGACAGCTAACAAATACTACAGGCCTAAGGCTTGGATTTTGGAGATGAACAGTATGAGTCTCAGATGAACAGGAGCTCCCAGTCTAGTAAGGGAACCAGATATGCAAAGTGGTATTACCCAATCTATGAGGAGAGCTTTGGTAGGCATGCACACAACTGGAAGAGGAAGAGGTTCTGTTATGGACTGAATTGTGTTCCTCACCAAATATGTGTTGGAATCCTAACCCCTATACCTGTGGATATAATGTAATGTAATGTAATGAAATGACCTTACATCTGATGTAATGCAATTATCTTCCACAATGTAATCCAATGTAATGTAATTAATTGATCAGTTGTGGTCATACCAGTGCAGGGTGGGTCTTAAACCTAATAACTTCCAAGTTATATGAAGAGCGGCATACACACAGGGATGGGTACCCACACACAAGGGAAGAGATGCCATGTGAACATTGCCAAGAACCAAGGAACACCTGGGGCTACCAACAAGGAAGGAATTGATGTGGCTGAGATCCTGATTTGGACTTCTAGCCTCCAAAACTGAGAAAATAAATTTCTGTTCTTTAAAGCCACCCACTTGTGGTATTCATGTTACAGCAGCACCAGAAAACTAAGACAAGTGCCAGCTCTGCTGGGATGGGGCGAAGGGATTGGTGCTCTCTGGAGGAGGTGATGGCTAAAGCTGAATTTTCAAGAAGTTCACTGGATGGATTATGCAGGGAAATAGTGCACACTGCAGAGGACACAGCACATGCAAAGAGGTAGCAGCATGGGAGAGGATGGTATGGCTTAGGAACTACAGGAGCCTTGGAGATGAGGCTGCATAGGTCACCTGGTAGGGCCAGGATCCTGAAGGAGGCTGTGAGTGTTGAGGGTCTGGCTGGAGTGCTAGAGCAAGGCATCATTTGCTTAATGCACGACAGGTTTTCTCTGGCTCTTCCTGCCCCATGTCCACTATCTGGTTCTACACTGCATGCCAGGTTTTGCTTTATTCATAATGTTAGCAGGATCCTTTCTTGGTTGTCCAATCCTCTGGCTTGCTATTGTTGTTATGTGCTGTTGAATCGATTCCATCTCATAGTGACCCAGCGTACAACAGAACGAAACACTGCCTGGTCCTGCACCATCCTCATAATCCCTTTTATGCTTGAGCCCATTCTTGCAGCCACTGTGTCAATCTATCTCATTGAGGATCTTCCTCTTCTTCATCCACCCTTTACTTTTCTAAGCATGATGTCCTTCTCCAGGGACTGATCCCTCCTGATAACATGCCCAAAGTATGTGAGATGTAGTCTCGCCATCCTTGCTTCTAAGGAGCATTCTGGTTGTACTTCTTCCAAGACAGATTTGTTTGTTTTTTTGGAAGTCCATGGAATATTCAATATTCTTTGCCAATACCACAATTCAAAGGCATCAAATCTTCTGTCTTCCTTATTCACTGTCTAGCTTTCACAAGCATATGAGATGATTGAAAACACTGTGGCTCGGGTCAGGAGCACCTTAGTCTTCAAGGTGTCTTGCTATTAACATACCTTTATTGGCCAAGCCTTCAGAACCCTGTTGGCCACATCCCAACAATGGTTTTAGTGTGAAGTGATGGGAGAAACGTGATTGCTGAGGGCCTCATGGAGGCATGGTATTGCTCATGGAGGATAATAAGGAGTCCATTCAAAAGCACATGTACCTTCTCCCCAAGGGTATTTCACATTCACCATTCCAACAGGCAGTGGTACCAGCTCCTTGTGTGGCGCTTGGCAGCCCTCTTCCACTCTCTGGGTCCCGATTTTCTCATTGATATGATGAGTGGGCTAAAGGACATGATCTCTAAAGTCCCTTCTGGGTCTAAAGTATGTGTAAGATTTTAGCAGTTGTTAGAAACAATTACAATTGATAGAGTCATTGCATTAAATATCCCCAATATTTTAATTTGTTCCCAAGTCTTCTGAACTGCATCTCAAATTCCATTTATCCAACTACATAGTCTCGATCATACCCATGTGGTGTCTAACACACACACACAGCACACACACACACCAACACACACATACACACAAGCTTACACATATGCGCATGTACACACACATACATACATTCACACAAATGCACACACCACACCCATACACACACAAGTGCACACACATACAAGTACGTACATATACCACACACATACACACATACATGTACTTACAGCACACACACATACATGCACACATATATGCATACACACAATACACACACACACACTTCTTTGCACCTTACAAGCAGGAGCAATTCAGAGGCTGGTCATTAATCCTCAAGTTTTCAAGGAAGAGCCTGTTCATCTCATACACACAAAGCAATCAATGTCTCTAAGACAGAAGACTGGTCTTGTGGCTGTTTTTCCTGCAATTTCTCAACAAAGCAGTTGCTGCCAGCTCTGTGGAAAATTACTGGTTCTTCGTTTTGTTTTTTTTCTCCATTCAACTTTATACACCTGAACTGTCTTCCTAACAATTGTCTGGTAGCAAGGCATCAATGGTCATTTATTTCCCTATCCAAACTAATAAGGGAGGAGATAGGGTTGAGGGTAAGGAGAAATAAGTTAAAATGAAATGGTAACTGTTTGGTTCAAAAGCAATTAGCTGGCTGTCATTCTAAAGGAGATTAAAATATTTATGAGTGTGCATTGCTGATACATTTGGTCTCAAATGAGAATGGCAATATTGTACTAGCATATAGACTAGTGATAAAATGACTCACTGTAGTCGTTCATCCACTGATTCATTCATTTGACAAACATTTACTGAGCATTTTGGGCTTCTGCTATAATCAGTGTCCTGTTGTAATGCCCACGGTGCACTGCATGGGGCAAGGCACAGAGACGCTTTACTCTCATTACTCCATATTAGCCGTTGTTTCTTGAACACAAATATTCCAGCAATATCTATTCATTGTAGAAAGTTTTTAAAAGACAGTTAAATAAAAAGAGAAAAAAAGTCATCTGTAATTACAGTAGAGGCAGCCACTATCTATTCAAAAATAGGATTCCTCTGTAAATATCATTTGATAATCTGCTTTTTTTTTTTTTTTTTCCTGAGGTATAATTAACATAGGTCCCTGGGTGGTACCAATTGTTTGCACTTGGCTGGTAACCAAAAGGTCAGAGGCTTGAACTCACCAAGTGGCACTGCAGAATAAAAGCCTGGCAATCTGCTTCTGTAAAGATTACAGCCAAGCAAACCCTGTGGAGCAGTGCTGTCTTGCAATGCCTGGGGTTGCCACGAGTTGGAATTGACTTGAAGGCAAAAGACGACAACAATTTATATACAGTAAAATTCGCTCTTTTTGGTAAACAGTTCCATGAGTTTTGACAAATACATACATTTGTGTCATCTGTACCCACAATCTGTAATCTGCTTTCATTTATTTAGCTCTATATTACAAACATGTTTTTGTCACTGAAAGAAGATCCATATCACTGTTTTTATTTGATGCAGGTATTCCATCTGAGGGATGTACACTCATTTATTTAACCAGTGGAAACTTTTGCCACACATCTCTCTGGGTTTGTCAGAGTGGATTTTTAACTTTGGTCTAGTAGATTCCCAGAGTTAAATTTAGTGAGAGTTTGTCCCTGAGGTTTGTCCTCAGGACAGTGGAAGGAGGCACCCCCTCCCCCTGTGCAGTGTGTCAGAGTAGAACTGTGCTTCATAGGGTTTTCAATGGCTGATTTTTCAGAAATAGATTGCCAGGCCTTTCTTCTGCGGTGCCTCTGGGTGGACTCCAACCTCTAACTTTTTGGTTAGCAGCTGAGAGCATTAACTGTTTGCACCACCTAGAGTACAGTAAAGTCAGAAGGGATTCTGAGATCAAGTTAGCTTCTTGTTATATAACAAGGTTGCTGGGAGTCCTCACTGTGCCAAAACCACGTGGTGATCTTTGGCCCAGTGAGAAGGCCTTGCTCCTCTTTAAATTCTCACAGATGGGTCAACAAAGCAGGACAGTTTTACCCTATTGTCTTATATAAGTTTTAGGTGAAATAGGTCTTTCAGTTTTTACTTGCAGCCTGCTCTCCCCAGGACTCAGACATGAGTGTATAAGGAGGGTGGGGAGGTGGCCGAGACTTCTTGATTTCACCCTTGGTGAGAGCCACCAGCTTTCAGAATTTGTCCTCTCTTCTGATAACAATTTTTAAATTGAGCCAAGCTTCTTTGCTGAACTATATTTTTATTTATGATGTTCTTCCCCTGTTAGGTCCCCAGTCTTCCAAGCAAATCTACAATGTCACGTTCATCCCTCATGTTCGTGGGGAATCCTAACAGTGGGCACAGCGGGAGCAGAACTGGGAT